TATTGAGAAATAATCTGAGGTTTGAAGTGAAAAAGTAATACCGTTTTTGAATAGCCGTGAATTCATGTAGAGAAGACCTTTCGATATGAAAAAGTATTCATTAGAAAGCTTTAATGGAGTACTTTCATTTTAGTCTAACAACAAAATTCGAGTTAATTATAAAAATAACGAGATATTTTAAAAAAAATTCATATGACACGAATTTCAAATTTATTTTCACATATAGAAAAGCAGCCTCAGGGAAATGTCACACAACTAATAAATTCCATATGTTTTATGCGGAAACAAAAACATACCCTTTCAGTATGTCATAAATTTCGTATGTTTTATGCAGAAACAAAAACGTACCCTTTCAGTATGTCACACATTCCGCACCTATTTCGCACCTTGTGTTAAATTTTAAAAAGTGCAAACTTTTCAAACCATATAATAAATACATTAATTCCATATTTATTTTTTTAGAACGTACTTTACATACGGAAATTCCGTATGTTATTTTTTATAGGGTCTTAATTGGTCAAGGAACATTATCAATCTATTTTTTAATGGTGCTGTATTTTTGTAATATGATTCTTTAAGAATTGTGTATAAAGGTGTATTGCCTTCTTTGATTGAGAAGGATTCTTCATTATGATGTTTGATGTTTATGTGATTTTGTTGCATTAAATTTAATTCTGCTGCTATTAGATCATTTTTTAATTTTTTGGAAGATAGCCAATCATTCCATGATTTAATAGATAAAGGTGAATGGGGAATCCATATTTCTGTTTGTAATTGATGCAATCTTATTTCTATTATTTTTCCCAGTGTATTTGGATTGTTGATTTTTGTAAACAAACTGTTAATATGACACTGACTTTGGTGATGGTGTAAATCTATTAAATTATATAATTTTTTATTTGATAAGTTTAGGTTTGGGGTATCTTTTGATATACCTAATCTATTTTTAAATAATTTCCTGTATGGTTTCATCATATCATTTGCTTCATTTGGTGTTAGAACAGTTGTTTGCAATTTATATTCAATTTTAGGTAAAACCACACTGTTGAATATATATACAAGTTGCTTGTCTGTTAATCTTTTATATTTCATAATATTAACTGTTTTATATATTTCTTGTTTAACTTGGTTTTTGACATATTTTTTGTTTTGATCCAAATTAAACCAGACACCTAAAAAACGAAATGATTCTTTAGCCCCTGTTGCTTTAATTTTGGTATTATTGTTTAATATAATTTCTTCGCCTGACTTGCATTGGTTTGATATTAACATGTATTTATTCTTATTAACCTTGATGTTATTGATTTCATAAAATTCATCAGCAATTTTCATGTAATTCTCTATTCCAAGTTTTGACTTTGATATTAGATTGCTATCATCCATGTATGTTAGATTATTAATTTTATGTTCTATTTTGTTTATTGTTTTATCATCTAAGTTGTTTATCCATGTGTGATTGATAGAATATGCTTCTGTTACATTATTGTTTAATTCACACAGCAAAGGATCATAGTAAATTACCCATAAGAGAGGTGATATAACTTCTCCTTGATCAATTCCCACAAGGATTTGATAAGGATCAGTATTACCATATTGTGTGATCACAGTATTAGTTCTTCTTGAAAATAAGTTGATAATGAATTTCCTGCACAAGGGTGGTAATTTAATCCTTTCCATGGCTTTGTTTAACATGTTAATGTTAACGCAGTCATAGGCCTTGCTAATGTCTTGACAGAGTATCCATATTTCTTGATTTTTGTTTTTAGTATCATGAATAATGTTTTCTAATATATGTATAGGATCGTAACATGAACCACCTGGTAAACCTGCATAATTTCCACCTTTAAGTATTTTCTTTTTTGCTAAGATCATTGATAACCTTTGGTAAACAAGCTTGACTAAACCTTTACGTACTGTTTCAAGTAGAGTTATTGGTCGTGTATTTTTTAGTTGGCCCTCCCATTCTTGTGGTTTGGGTATTGGGTATATTACTGCTTCCCTCCATTCATTTGGAATGTCACCACATTTAAGGCATGCACAAACTAATCTCCATACTGCTTTATTAATATTTTGTCCTGCATTTTTAATCATTTCATTTGTGATTTTTGATGGACCAGCAGCCTTATTGTTAGGTAAGCTTTTGACAAGTTTGTACCATTCTTCAAATGTAGGTGGTTGCATTATATATTTATACCATTTGTCATTGATAAAATTTAAAGGTTCACATTGTCTTTTCCACTTTTCATTTATTTGTATTTCTTGATTTGGTGGAACCCTGTCAATTTTTTGAAAGTGTTCATTAACTTGGTTTTTAATAGTACTAGAATTGGTTATAAGCTCTAGGCCATCTTTTGTTTCAATCATTATTTTATCCAGGGTTATCTTACGTTTGCTTCTCTCAAGACATGATGAAATAAATTTTCCTTTTTCTAAGTTAAAGTTGTTGCATCTTTTTAATGAGAAAAACTTTATTTGTGCTTCTCTCCACTTATCTTCTTCTATTTGGCATAGAGTGTATAATAATTTATGTATTTGCTTGATATCTTTTTTTATTTGTTTTATGTTTCCATTGTGTATTCTTTCTTGTATTTGAAGTTCTTCAAATTTACCATTATTGATGATATTATTTAAAATCTTTATGTCTTTATTCCATTCAGTCTGAGAAGGTATTTTGTCATTGTAAATTTTTATGTTGTTGAATTTAATTAAAATTTTGTTAACCTTCCTGAGATAGCTATAATTTTTGATCAATTCTTTTGATTTAATGTCTTTGAATGATTCTGATACCCATCGTTTTGGAATTGTTTTTTCAGCTGTTTTGATGAGAGTATTTCTTACTGCATCCCACATTCTATTCAGATCATGATGACCAGGATTTTCAGGAAATTTAAATTTATTCATTTGAGAGTCTTTCCATAAGCTGTCACTTGTTTCAGCATATTTTAACCAGTCTTCTTCTTTCATGTTGTCAAAAGAAAATACTTGTCTTCTCATTTGTTTCCTTTTTATATTAGCTTCCTTTGTATTAAAAATAATATTATTTTTGTGTAAGTATGTTATGACCATTCTATGGTCAGAAGAATATAGTGGCGATTTCCATGTCTCACAGAAAAAAACTTCATCTAGCATATTATTTGGCATCCATATGAGATCTATCCTACTTGTACTATTGTTGTTCTTCCATGTATAACATTTGTCATCTTCTATGTTTGTATGAATGTCAATATAATTTTTATTTTGTAAAAATTTGATAAGATGGTATTTTCTATCTATTTTTTTATTGTTCATTCTATCTAGTTCTAATTTATCAGGATCTGCATTAAAATCACCAATTATTATATTACTGTAATTATTTTTTTTTCCTTCTTCTATTATTGAAATTGTTTCATTTTCAGTTTGTAATCTTTCTTTCCTGTCCCACTCTGTAGACGTTGATGAATTTATGTATACATTTATAATTCTAATTTTTTGGTGAGGCAAAAATAAATCTGCATAAATTATTCTACCATTTGATTCTTTGACCTTTTGGACATATATTGATATTGATTTTTTAATCATGAGCCCCACACCAGAACTAGTTGGACTTTTATCATTTGAACTCCACCACACCTCAAAATCATTATTTTTCAATGCATGTGATGCAACTTTTTTGCTCATTTTAGTTTCTGTTATTCCAACTATATTTATATTTTTTAATTTTAGTGTTTCTAATAATTGTTTTTGTTTAACTGGATTTGATAATCCTTGTATATTTTGAGTTGCTATTGTAATTAATTGTTCATTATCATTATGATTAATTGTTTTATAATTTTCTCTATTAATGTCATTATTGTTGTAAATAATGATATTATTATTATTATTGTTTATTGCACTCATTATTTATTGTTGATGAGTGTATATATCCTTGGGTGTCATCATCATCAGAAGATGATGAATCTAATATTTCGTCTTCTTGATGATTAAGTATTAGCATGGATGTTATTTGATTTAACTTGTCTTCTATTTTTCCCATTTGGTTTGAAACCTCAAGTTGTTTTTGTTTAACACATTCTAACTCATCACTTGATGATGATGATGATGATGATGTATTTGGTCGCCTCCTTTTATTATTATTTGAGGAGTCATTTTTATTATTTGTTCTTGTTTGATTTAAAGAGGGAGTGGATTGTTGTGGGATATTTTCGTTATTTTTAATATTCAGTGGATTATGAGTGGAATTATTTAAAATTGGTAAGTTGATTCCTGTGGTAGTCTCCATGAATTTTATTTTTTTGTTAATATCATTGATATTTTCATTAATTTGTGTAATATCTTTTTTTAAAGTATTGATTATATCCAGCAATCTATTAAAGTTGTCTTCCCCAATTTTTGTAATTGGTTTAGGAATATTGTTTGTTTGTTTTTTTGTTTGTTGCTTTGCTATATCAGCATATGTTTTTGATTTGGTTTCTTTTGGTTTGAATGGAATATGAAATTTTTTATATAAACCATTGAATTTTTGTTTTTTCATCTGTTTTTCTTTTCTGTCTGCTTTTTCCTCACATTTAGCAGCAAGATGTTCTGGGGATCCACAAATATGGCATGTTTTAGCATTTATAGTAGTCCAAAATAGCTCTTTTTCTCTTAGTGCATAATTTGTGTGCATTGCATTAGCCATCAATTCCTCATTTTCAAATGCTACATAAGCAATTCTTGTTCTGATATATGAGTTTTTGTTTCTGGCAAGAAAACAAGTTTTTCCACCAACAGCAGTGATAACGTCTTCAAGATCATAAGATGTAGTACCAAAAGGAATATTAGTCAGTTTAAGAACATGACAGTTCCTCTGCTGATAAAACTTTTGATAATCTTTATATGGATAGATTCTCATACTATCTTTAAAATATGAAACTGACCATGTATTCTGTAGTTCAATTATTGTATTTTCACTTTTAAAAGTTATTAACGCAGTGTACCACATTCCACTAGGTCTCATAGAAATTGTCTCAACTTCTCCAAATTTGTTAAAAATATTTTTAATTATGTCCTTTTTTGCATTTAAAGGGATATCCATAATTTTGATAGTTCTCTGTTGCCAATCTAAATTTTCGTTTCTTTTAATTATTTTTTCAAACTTGTAATCATTATTTTCTAATATATTTTTTAAACAAGCTTTATCTGCAGACTCTTTGTTCTTGAAAGTAGCAACTACTCTCTTCTTTCCAGCAATGAAAATATACTTAACACCAATTATATTACTTGCATCATCAATAATGTGATATGCATTTTTAATTTTTTCATCAGGTTTTTTTCCAGGCAAATTTTCTGCCAATATTGAAACTTCGTATCGTTTTTTTGATTCTATTTTGACCCATACTTCTTTCTTGTTTGAGGGTATTTCATTTGAATTATCTTCATTGTTATTTGTTTCTTCAGTATCATGACAAGAATTTTCTTTGTTTTCATCTATATCTATATCCATTAGGGGAGTTGAATTTTCATTTCTATCTTTATTTACTTTTTTTTCTTTTTTTTTTGTTACCATTGTAAAAAAAATTTTTTTTTTGCTGAAATTATTAATTCAGTGGAAATTTTATTATTAAAACCTTCTATTAGATCCTATACTAATGCTAATGCTAATACTAACAGCTAATAGAATTTTGTAATGTTAATAATTCTGTTCTGTCTATTACTATTATTATTACTTAATACTATATTAACTTATATTAACTTAATTATCTATATATATTTTTTATCCTTTCTCTAAATATGTATATATTTATAAATCTTCAGTCACTAATTTTATTAATTTGTTATTAATATTAATATATTCTTAATTTACCTGCATTGTTTCAGCAGATGCTCGTAGAATATTGCATAATCCAACAATTCCACGTGCTCCGCATTCCTTAGCAATAAGTCGAATACTGGTTAAATCTGATAATAATAACGCTTTAAGAAAAGATTCAGCAGATTTGCTGATATTTTCCTTTTCCTCTTTAATGACAGCCCTCACTATTCCCATTAAACGATTTGCTTCTTGTTCTGAAAGAAAGGTCTTTGCACGAGGAAAACTTGGACAAGGTGAGAGATTGTCCTCACGAAGGTCTAGAACACCCCATCAAAGGGGGCTAAACAGAGTAAACATTAGTATGTTAATATTTAATAAATGGATAAATATTAAATAGTAAATATTTTACTTTTTATGTGCAGATTTATCTTTTTGAATATTTTTGATAGCCTTAACAACAGTAGTATATTCATTTTCTTTTTCATTTACGCTGAGTGAATAAAAAACGAAATTTATAATTAACTAGTGACAAGTGGTGGTGATCGTAACCACCACCATTTTTTTAAATAAAACACTTACTTGAACCACGACTCTTCGTGATTTTTTTCGATCTTTCTTCTTTTTGGTTGCTTTTTATCTTGTTGTGGCATTGGTTTTTTTTTAAAGTGAAAGAAATTTTAATTCGTGATACTAATACGTGAGATAAGTAGAATAAAAATCTAAATGTCGTCGATCTGGGGCAAAAATGTGTAAAAATCAACAAATTGAAGTATTTCTCTTCTAAGATAACATGACCAAAATATCCACAAACAAAAAAATAACGTGATTTTTAGATCCATTAATACCATAAAATTATCTTTATTGAAAAAAAAATTTTGCATTTAATAAAAAAACAAACTTTGCTTTCGGGTATCGCTGGATTTCTTTATTGTTTCTAAATAAAAATTTGTTTTCTATTATTTATAATTTTATTAAGGAATGTATTATTAATAACAGTTCAAATAAGTTGATTTCTTATAGTGGGTGGGAAATTAGATCACAGACAACAAAGACATTGATATTAAACTATTCAAAACTTGACCACATAATTTCTTCTGTCATCATTAAGTCCTGGGAAATAATTTACAAGAGAGTTAAAATAATCTCTTGTTTTCTATTATGTATTTATAATTTTATCAAAAATTGCATCAATAATAATAACAGTTCAAATAAATTGTTACAGCAAATGCAAATTGTTAATATTAAACTTGGCCATGTAATTTCTTCTGTCATCATTAAGTCTTGGGGAATAATTTACAGGAGTTAAAATAATTTTCTTTATTTATAATTTTATTAAAGATTGTATCAATAATAATATAATTGTTTTCTTCTAGTGGGCAGGAAATTAGATCACACCAAAAGCAAGTTGTTAATATTAAAATAATTGTATGATAAATTACTTGAAAATTCATTTATTGTAATTTGCTAACATTTTTATCAGCTACATCTCTTTTCATTTCTGCTGAGTATCTAGAAACCCAATTATGTATAGTTTCTACCTTGGGAATTTCATCATGAGAAAATTGGGCATTATGAACAGATTCTCCAATAAGTTCTTTATGCATATCCTCCGGTGTAAACCTTTGGCTCTTATCATAATAATACAAAGCAAAATTTTCTACTATTTAGTTTAGTTAAAATTCTCATGCCTAACCAAATAGGGTAAAATTCTGAGCCATTTTCAGTAGAAATTTCATGCCACCAGTGATGAGCAAGAGGTCCATAGTGTAAATTAAAGTCAATTATTCCTTAAGATGCAAGTATTGGTGAAACTTCTTTATGTTTAGACATTTAAATAGAAATTTTATATTTATACAATATGTACAAAAAAAATTTTTTAATATATGAATGCAGCTAGCTATAAATTTGATTTGATATAAAAGTAGTATGTCTGATATAAAAAAAATAAAATTTGAGATATGAAAGAATAATAAAGAATTATATGGACATGTCTGGATTCAGAAAATGAGACTCTTTATTAATAGATATTAATCCTGTTTAAAAAATATGCTGATCATCTACTTCTATCATGTATATATCTGTATGACAACAAAAATATTTATGATTACACATATCTGTCGTACAAATAAGACAAATATATTACTATTTTAATTTTTTTTTTGTTCACATGATTGAATTTTTTTTGTTGTTTGACATGGTGAATATTTGGTCCTAAAGAAGACGACATGTTATTTATTGATGGCGAGGTACATTATTTTTTGTTGTATTGTATTGTATTTTATTTTTTTTTATTGTTTTATAAATTTCTTTGATACACGCTTTTTTATTATTTTGTATAATGTATATTGTTGAAATCAAGACATGGAGCAGGTCTTGTCATGTCTCTTTAGGTATTTATTATAGAAAATTCTTGATGATAATAAGTAAACGATTGGTATTGTTTTGCTTTTTATAATCAACATTAATAATTTTAATATTATAATTACAAGATGTCAAAGGATAAAGAAGGGAAAATTAAAGATGGAGAAGAGAAACAATTCATTATGTAATGTTTGATTATCGGAAATTTACAGACGTCAAGCCACACACACTACCTTAAACACTTTACAGTCATTCTTGCATCCTCCTCGTGTTCAAAAGGCTAATCTTGACCTGCACCTCTCAATGATATGATAATGCAATTAATGTGATGCAACTTTTTTGCTCATTTTAGTTTCTGTTATTCCAACTATATTTATATTTTTTAATTTTAGTGTTTCTAATAATTGTTTTTGTTTAACTGGATTTGATAATCCTTGTATATTTTGAGTTGCTATTGTAATTAATTGTTCATTATCATTATGATTAATTGTTTTATAATTTTCTCTATTAATGTCATTATTGTTGTAAATAATGATATTATTATTGTTATTGTTTTTGCACTCATTATTTATTGTTGATGAGTGTATATATCCTTGGGTGTCATCATCATCAGAAGATGATGAATCTAATATTTCATCTTCTTGATGATTAAGTATTAGCATGGATGTTATTTGATTTAACTTGTCTTCTATTTTTCCCATTTGGTTTGAAACCTCAAGTTGTTTTTGTTTAACACATTCTAACTCATCACTTGATGATGATGATGATGATGATGATGTATTTGGTCGCCTCCTTTTATTATTATTTGAGGAGTCATTTTTATTATTTGTTCTTGTTTGATTTAAAGAGGGAGTGGATTGTTGTGGGATATTTTCATTATTTTTAATATTCAGTGGATTATGAGTGGAATTATTTAAAATTGGTAAGTTGATTCCTGTGGTAGTCTCCATGAATTTTATTTTTTTGTTAATATCATTGATATTTTCATTAATTTGTGTAATATCTTTTTTTAAAGTATTGATTATATCCAGCAATCTATTAAAGTTGTCTTCCCCAATTTTTGTAATTGGTTTAGGAATATTGTTTGTTTGTTTTTTTGTTTGTTGCTTTGCTATATCAGCATATGTTTTTGATTTGGTTTCTTTTGGTTTGAATGGAATATGAAATTTTTTATATAAACCATTGAATTTTTGTTTTTTCATCTGTTTTTCTTTTCTGTCTGCTTTTTCCTCACATTTAGCAGCAAGATGTTCTGGGGATCCACAAATATGGCATGTTTTAGCATTTATAGTAGTCCAAAATAGCTCTTTTTCTCTTAGTGCATAATTTGTGTGCATTGCATTAGCCATCAATTCCTCATTTTCAAATGCTACGTAAGCAATTCTTGTCCTGATATATGAGTTTTTGTTTCTGGCAAAAAAACAAGTTTTTCCACCAACAGCAGTGATAACGTCTTCAAGATCATAAGATGTAGTACCAAAAGGAATATTAGTCAGTTTAAGAACATGACAGTTCCTCTGCTGATAAAACTTTTGATAATCTTTATATGGATAGATTCTCATACTATCTTTAAAATATGAAACTGACCATGTATTCTGTAGTTCAGTTATTGTATTTTCACTTTTAAAAGTTATTAACGCAGTGTACCACATTCCACTAGGTCTCATAGAAATTGTCTCAACTTCTCCAAATTTGTTAAAAATATTTTTAATTATGTCCTTTTTTGCATTTAAAGGGATATCCATAATTTTGATAGTTCTCTGTTGCCAATCTAAATTTTCGTTTCTTTTAATTATTTTTTCAAACTTGTAATCATTATTTTCTAATATATTTTTTAAACAAGCTTTATCTGCAGATTCTTTGTTCTTGAAAGTAGCAACTACTCTCTTCTTTCCAGCAATGAAAATATATTTAACACCAATTATATTACTTGCATCATCAATAATGTGATATACATTTTTAATTTTTTCATCAGGTTTTTTTCCAGGCAAATTTTCTGCCAATATTGAAACTTCATATCGTTTTTTTGATTCTATTTTGACCCATACTTCTTTCTTGTTTGAGGGTACTTCATTTGAATTATCTTCATTGTTATTTGTTTCTTCAGTATCATGACAAGAATTTTCTTTGTTTTCATCTATATCTATATCCATTAGGGGAGTTGAATTTTCATTTATATCTTTATTTACTTTTTTTCCTTTTTTTTTTGTTACCATTGTAAAAAAAATTTTTTTTTTTTTTTTTCGATAATATCACTTATGTAAATATTTACTAGAGATAGTTTTTTTTATTGGATAAAATGTGTAAAAGTCACATTATTTGTAATACCATAAGAGGTATAAACACGCTTACTTGGTTTTAGAATTAGTCATGTACGTGTATGTTGATCAAAATAACAAATTTTTTCTCTTGATTTTTTTAATAGAAAAACGCCACCAAAAGATCAAGCAAAAATGAAAAAAAGACAAAAAGATACATGTCATGAAGTAGGTCAGCTTGGGTAAGTGTTTAAAAAAAGAATGATAGTGGTTATTATTGTCACAACTTGTCATTCTAGTTAGTTATTAAAAAGAATGGTGGTTATTGTTACTCTAGTTTGTTCATATGGTTGACAATTGATCTCTTTTGTATTTACTTTTTAGTAATCTGAAGCATTGTTCATCACAAGGAGGAAAAGAAAATGTTCAACATCAAAGAATTTACTATGATGGTGATGATGACAAACATAAAAATAAAAATATTCTTTTAAAATATTGGACATACATGGCTAGAAAAAAAGAAAGTCCACATCTCTTCATGTATTTATTGTTTGCTGCAAAAAGTTCATTTAATTAAATTAAATAATGATTTTGAGAAAGCAAAAGCTTTTTTAGTTGAACTTTATAAGACCAAAGAAATAAATATTTATATTATTTAATTATACAGAGTTGTTTATCATTATCAAAAATTGGAGTAAGTCTCATCTCTTTTGTTAATTATATAAGGCACTAATAAATACAATGAAGAATCAAATGATCCTAATGTACTAGAATTTTGGGATTTAGTTAAAATCACAATGAGCGATTATTCATACAT